AAATTTAAGATGTTGAAGGCATGATTTTGTTTTGTTGTTTGTTTTGGATGGTAATAAATATACTTTTGAATATATTTGATACATCAGTCTGATCTGCAATGATAATTTTTACAGTTTAAGTGTGAGAGTTATACTATAAAAGGAAGGTTTGAAGTTAATGATTCCTTTTATGCTTTTCCAACTATTCTTAATATTGTTTATGTTTTTACTAGAAAAAGTTATGTAAGAAGATTTTTTTACGAAGCTTTAATAGATTGCGGATTCTGTTTCTAAACTTTAAATTTAAAGTCTAAAATCCTAAAGCATAACGATTCTTTATCAGTTTTAAATAATTTGTTTGCGTAATTTTCAATGTGACTCATTTCAGTAGATTTTGCTTTACAAAGCGGATATGATAAGTAAGATATGATAAGTGTTTTAGTGATTTGCGCTAAAACCTTTCCATCAATGGCTGTTAAAAGCAAAGAGCTTTCAAACTTTTTAGTTAGTTATATGATAATATCAGAAAGATGATTTATTTGTTTTTCAACAAAAACTTTTGTTTTAAGAATAAATTTTCTATTTTCTTTAGCATTAGTTTATGCTTTAGAATTATTAGTGTGCAAAATTTGATAAAATTTAGATTTAGTTTTTTCCAAAATACATCTCAAATGTTTAAGTGTAAAAGTGTAACAGAAAAAAGCGAATCGTCAGAAAAGAATTTTCAGATAAATCGTCAAACTTTTGATGTAATTGTGAAAAACCACTGGTTCCATCAAATCCTAAATATACAAGATAAATTTTTCTTTATTAGTAACTTTACATATGATTACAGACTATTGTGACTCTACTATGATTTAAATTAATTGAGCGAAATAAGTCAACTTTGCGTCTCATATGTTTTGAAAAAAATGACTTGTGAAAAATGTATAATGCTTATAAATACTATACTACAAAACATGCAGCAACTGATGATAAATTCAAGGGCCAATTTTTTGTTGATAAGCTGGAATTGCTAAAGAAAAACTTTATCGGACAACAACCAGTGATGAAAAGTAAATAAATTAGCTCATACAGGGCTACCAAAATAAGTTTTTTCATTGCAGAAAAAGTTGAAATAATGCCATGAAATATTTTTTCCTTTTTGGAAGCACTTACAGTAACGGAAAAAACAAGTGCAATCAAATAATGCTAATTTAGTTTCTTTATATAAAAGTGCTGCATTTTTTCAATTCAGAGAAAAAACAATGTGACTGTTTAGAGAAAACGTTCTTCAAGTTTTATTCATCACAAAGTTCATTATTTATACACGAAAGTTAATAAATTGATCAAAAGTATTAAAAAAAGTTAATTTCCTTCTGGACAAAACAAGTGCAACTGCACAAAATGTTGACCAAGCTGTATTTCGCTATCAATATTTCGTAGCGAATCCTTTGTTGTCGATCACAGCCTTCCATCTTCGAGGCATATATTCAATTAGGGGATTAATGAATCTTTGTGGAATCGCTGCCCAGGCCTTTTGGATTTGTTCAAACAGTTGATTCTTATTACGAACACCTTCACGAATAATTCTGCGGTTAACAATCTCCCACAGGTTTTTGATAGGGTTGAGATCCGGAGATTGAGGCGGCCAATCCATCACTAATAGGTAGTTGTCTTGAAACCACTGCTTGACTACTTTTGCAGTGTGTTTCGGATTGTTGTTTTGCTGAAAAACCCATATTATTGGCATGTTCCATTCAGTATGAGGTAACATAACATCTTTCAGGATATTTTTATACATAAAACGGTCTATTTTTCCATCTATTCGATGTATTGGATCTAGACCGTTAGCAGAAAAACACCCCCAGACCATTACATTGCCTCTACCATGCTTTACGATCTTATGGCAGTAACGTAAATCGAGGCGTTTTCCGTCCGCTTGACGTACACGGCAAATGTCATCGCTCCAAATGATGTTGAACTTCGATTCATCACTGAACAGCACAGTTTGCCATTTTTGCACATTCCAGTCAATATGAGATGTAGCAAACAGGAGTCTTTTCTTCTGGTTCTTTAGTGAAATCAGCGGTTTCTTTGCAGGGCGTCGAGAAAACAATCCAGCTTCAACAGCACGTCGTCTGATTGTTCGGTCCGATACAGACAGCTCTACTTGCTTTTGTATCTCGACTGATGATATCCCGGGATCCTTCTTGACGGATTTGAAGATCATAGAACCCTCTCTAGAAGTGGTGGAACGCGGTCTTCCACCTTTGTTATTTGCTGCCAACTTCCCCGTAGAACGATTTTTGAAACATAGTCTTAAAACGGTCCATTTTTTCACGCGATATTTATCACAAATACCTTTTTTGTGACATTCCACTTACGTAATCGCCAATAATTTTCTTTCTTAGTTCCAATCCAAGACTGTCGGGAGCCATTTTTGCACTTAAAGTCATAAAAATTATAAAAATAAATAATCACGCTTCTCAAGGCTTACCGTGTTACATTTACCTTGTGATGATACAATAATGCTCTGTGAAACACAAGTCTTGGTTGGATGTGGACTGTATTGATGTAATGAAACACTTGTTGTATTTCATTTCTTGTATTGATGTTCTTCGATAAAACACTATGATAAAACTCATTTTGATAAACTGTCTTGATAATACTGACTGATTGACTTTCATATACTGACTGAATTACATGTCTCATATAGTAAAATGAACCTGTGTGAACCTGTTCTGGAAGATTCTAGATGCTTCTTTTCGATCCTTCTGAATGTTTCTGGATACTTCTGGATGTTTCTGGATGCTTCCAGATGCTTCTTCTGGAAAATTCTGGAAGCTTCTGCATGCTTCTAGAAACTTCTGGAAACTTCTGGATACTTCCTTTAATTATTAAAAAACCCCCGTGACGTTGACACGGACCAGACTTAAGAAAATGAAACAAACCAAAAAAGTTGCACTTATTTTGTCAAAATGCACTTGTCAGCAAAATTCTGCCTGTGTTATTAAAAAACCCCCGTGACGTTGACACGGACCAGACTTAAGAAAATGAAACAAACCAAAAAAGTTGCACTTATTTTGTCAAAATGCACTTGTCAGCAAAATTCTGCCTGTGTTATTAAAAAACCCCCGTGACGTTGACACGGACCAGACTTAAGAAAATGAAACAAACCAAAAAAGTTGCACTTATTTTGTCAAAATGCACTTGTCAGCAAAATTCTGCCTGTGTTCTGTCACCTGTCAGCTGATTGCTTATATCATAGCATGCTATGATTCCAGACTCCTGAACTGTTTGCTGTGGTAGTAAAGTTCGTTTCGTTTTAAAGACATGTAAAATTAGGAACATTTGTTAGCATTGTTTGATGTTGGTTGCAAATGTTTTGTCCAATACTGTAAATCTGTAAACAACTTTTTTCAAGAATGATACGTGTTAAATTAGAGCTGATACATAGGTTGAAAGATGAACACCTCACTAACACACTTAGGACTTCATCATCCACTATAAAAGCACATTTGAGTAAAAGTAAACAATGCCAAGTTTCTCATTAAATACATGTTTTTTTTTACAATATTGAAATTGAATTAGTTGTTTTAAATTAGAAGTTTGAATAAAGGGAATTTTTTTTAATTATTGGCTATCGTGTTCTCATCAAAATAAAATAATGACTGCAAATGTGTTGGACAACCCTGCTGTAAAACAGTAAATATCTGCACTTTACTTTTAAAATCTTGTTGCCTTGTACTGAGATTCAAAATTAATAGTTTGAAATTATCGCTTTTTCATTAAATGATTTTTTTCCGACGATTATAAATTGGGCATTGTGGAAAAGCGCTTGGAGATCTAAAATAAAATCCTACCAAAAAATGAAAGTTTGATCAGTTTGCAGCGGGCCCGCATAATCAGAACATTTTCTATCGGATTTTCGCATATCTGGAATTATTGTCACTTCTGATTATTTCCAATTACTGTGTACTGGGACTTTTTGGTTATTGAAGATTCAAATAGTAACAAAAGGTGTTTAAACTTGTCAGGAGACATTCTCAAGTATTGATAAAAAAAAAAAATTCCTATCAAATAATTTTGTATCTTGCATCAACGAACAAAATGCACCTTGCTTCATACGTTTTTTCAATAGTTCTCTGAACCAAAACTAATGATTTCTTTTCTTTAAGCTTAGTTTCCAATAGTTGTAGAAATGTTTCTCGGCAGTTGTGCATTTTTGTTGTAGAACAATTGTTTCCGAAATTAATTTTATTTTACAACATAAATTTTGCAGTCTAAAAATTAACTAAAAGTTAATAATTTAGAGTGACACAGTTTTAATGACAACAATTTTTTTCTGCCTACAGTTGTTTTTTTATTAAATGCCAGCGCACGAATAAGCGCTGGCATGATAGTCATTTTTAAGTTAGCCTGCGCGATAAAATTTTTTTTTTCCTGTTACTTTAATTACAACAAGTATGGCGAAGAGAATGCTTCGGAATAAATACTAGACAAAATAATTTCAAAAAAACTTGTAAAAAAAGGCCATATTTCATAAAAGTTGAATAAATGAACAAAAAAGTTTGGTTTCGATTTTAAACAAAACACTATTTTTTTTTGGCAAGCGCTTTTTTATGCGCTCGCCAAAATTTTTGCAGGCGTGTAGGCGAACGCAAAAATACTTAAACGTGAAAGCACTGGCTAAAAGGAGAAGACTAGTGGTGGTGGTCGCAATAGTAAACTGGATAAATTAGAATCAGTTCGTTTATTAAATTTATAGTTCTCAAGTTGTATATTATTTCTAAATAATTGAATAACAAAAAATATTTCCAAGATAACTTTTATGTTACGTGCTATAAAAACTTTTTACATACAAATGGTCGGTATTTTTTACATATAAAGAGTGGGTATTTTCTGCATACAAAGGATTTGTATTTTTCTTATGTTAAGGATCGGTATTTTTTACATACAAAGGGTCTGTATTTTTTTTATACAAAGGATCGGTAAATTTTTGTTCTTGAATTAAATTGCATAAATTAAACTACTAAATCTAGCATTTAAAAATATTTAATTAAGTAGTAAGAAATTATATCTTAAGTGTTTTGCCAACTTTGTTCAACAATGGCTTGAACTTTCTTTTCGTACTCTCTCTTATTTTCTTGATATAATTGAGCAGCTAAGCTATTGGCTGGACTATTTGGGTTTGGCTCGTCGAGCAAAGACTATAACACAAAATATTAATACGTATATAATAAATGCTAATACATAAATAAATTTTAAAATGTAATTAATAATTATAGTATCCTAAAGTTAATACAACAAATTAAAAAAAAAAAAAAAAACACCCTCCGTGCGAATTAAACCCTGCTCTTTTTTAAAGGTTTTCAGGATATTTATTTTAAGCCATTCTTTTTAGAAGGCTTACATGAGATAGAAACCGTTCTCTCTAAAAATGAAAAACGTTTCAAAAATAGCGGTTTCTTCATGACCGTATTATTTAAGACCCAAAATATATTAGCAAATAATAGTTAAAAGTATTCTCTTGAAAAAAATCTGTTTGGAATGAAGAACAATGTTCTGCCTTAACTGACACATACTAAACACGCATAATACTCAAATAAAAAAATTTAGACTAATGAAATTTCGCCTACAGTATTTTAAATATAATAATTATTTACAAAAAAGATATTGTGTTTTTTGATACAAATATATCCTTGAAAGCTTTCTTAGAGTCTTATTGAACTGTATTAAACAACGACAACTCTTTTCTCAAATATTTATAGAAACACCGACCGCGAACTTCTACCTACCAAAATAGATGGAACCTAATTACATGAAATTTTATCCAAGCGAAATCTTTTTTGCATCATGGACATATATAGCAAATGAAACATGGACTTCACAAACATCTATTTTCACTTTGTAGGATATATTAATTTTCATTCCAAAACAGCAGTCAACGATTAAATTATAGGCCAGCAATTATTAACTCGCTGAAAATAATAGTACTACTATACTCATATTTTTTAACCACATGTTGACTGGCGATTTCGTCTCCTACCTCTACTTGTTTTGACAGGTGATCTCGTCTCCTACCTGTACTAATTGAATTGAAAATATATTAAATGTTTTCATCTACTTCTACTATACTGTACACTATACAGCAAATAGGACAACAGCAGTTGCTATTTTCTTGCTTTTTTTGAAAACTTTTAAACTTTATGACAACCATTTAACCAGGAAGTTTCTACAACTTTAATGATAGTTTTAACTTTCTGTTTAAAATATAGGTTTTATTGCGCAACCTCTAGAAATTCCAGACGGATGAGAAATTATGTTCAAAATGAATCCAGGGTGAACAAAGTCTTCGATCAGTTGAATCAATAAACTATAACTTTCCAAAGATGTTATGTCAATAAAGACATTTTTTTGTCTTTATTGACATAACAAAAACAAATCCATCTTCTATTTTTTGAAGTCTTGCTTTTTGCAGACTCATTTTGAAACAAAACATCTTGGATTTTTTTAATATAATAAATCAATATTCTAACAAACCGCCTAATTTAAACAAATTGTAACACAATTAAGGTAAATTATTGAAACTAATTTGTCTGAATTTTGAGGAAATTCGAACCAATTTTTAGCAATTAGCCTCTGAATTTGAAAAAAAAACAACTTTGGTTTAACGGAGACACCATGTATTTTACAAATTAGAACAAAAATACCCTCAAAAGTAGCCCCCAGTATTCGCCTGGCTGAGGGAAACTAGTTTTGAAAAAAAAAATTCTTTATCTTAAATAAGATCATAATTTATGGATTTCAAATTTCATTAAAATATATTTTGGGGTCAAAAAATACAGCTATATCAGATTTTTCATTTTTTGAAAGTTTTATATTTTTAGAAAAAAGGTCAAAAAAAAATTTGTTTTCAACGGTTTCTATCTCATGTCAACCTCCTGTAAACAACGGCTTAAACAAACAGATGTAAAAATAAGTTCAAACTGAAATATCTGAAAAAAGCAGAATAAAGCGTTACATAGTGGTGAAAAAATTCACACTTTACAGTTAACACTAAGTAGTAGATTAATAATATAACTTTTGGCTCACAATCAAGAGGTTCAAGGTTCAAATCCATCTTATGCCTCTGGAAGTACTTCACCTTTTCCTGCACACCTACCTGATTTACAGCAAGGTTGGCGTTTAAAAGTTCAAGGTCAAAAGAATGAGTAAAAAATAAAAATCTTGACTAAAGTGGGCAATCTCCCTCTATAGTGGGTTCTCTCCCTCTGAAGCGGGCTCTCTCCCGCTGTAATGAGCTCTTTCCCTCTGTAGTGGGCTTTATCCCTTTGTAGTGAGGGCTCTCTCCCTCTGAAGTCTTGGAGAGGTAAATTAAAAAAAATCAATAGTACAAAACAAATAAATGAAATAAAAATAAATTATATTAAAACAAATGAAATAAAAAAATTTTTTCTGTATATTTAATTACAAATTCACATAAGAATTCATAAACAACGTCTTACTTGAATTGAAGTTAATATTGATGATACGTCATATGTTGGACTCCACCTATTTTGTAATATATCCAAGCATATACCGCCATCAGCATAAACTTAAAAAAAAAAAAAGAAAATTTAAGAAATCAATAACAGAATTTTAAACACTTAATCTAGAAAAAAACCCTTTAAAGATCAAACGTGAGAAGAAAGAAGCCAAAAAACATATTCTGTTTTAACATATACTTAATTCTCTAATGCTGACAATAGTTATGTCAACTAATGATATTAACTTTAATACCAACTAATGGGGTGCACATTTACTTCATGTTGCTAGAAATAAATAATTATTGAATGATTCCCCATACCCCTCTTAAAAAAGAAAAAAACATTCTTGATATTAAATTTTTTTTACTAAATTCTGTATTCAATAACTGGTACTAATCAATTATTTAAAAACAAAGAAAAAAATTCTGGATTTTTCCTGGATTACATGTTAGGTATTTAATTCAAAAGTCCATCTCTCTAAATGCCATAACACTACACACATTAATTTTGTTTGTACAAGATTTGTTTAGATACAAAAAATCATAACCGTAACAAATCGAATATGAAATCAAGAGATCATGTTGTTTTATTAAATTCATTTCTCAGCTTTCTCTCACTAGTCAAGCAAGTTCTCAAACTATTAAGTTATTTAGTGTTATTACTGGAAACCAGGGTTGGCATTAAAAAACCCGCCCAATAAAACCCGCCCAATAAAACCCAATAAAACCCGCCTAAAAAAACCCAATAAAACCCAAGCAATCTGGTTTTTTTTGAAATATATCTAAAAACTTATGAACTATTATATTAATAATATATACTATTATTAACCAACATTTCTGAAAACATAAACATATTATAGAGCTAGCTATAAAGGGAAATTTTCAATTTAAACACAACATTTTTATTTAACACAATTTTATTTTGGAAACCAAACAAATTAGATTCATTCAATAAGATTTTTTAGAATAGATACACATTGACAAGACTATTTACATTTTTGGTATACTTCTTGCAAATACAACTTTACTTTAATGTAATATTCACTTTATATTGTAAAAGCATAAACTCTAATGTAAAAACATAAACTATAAACTATTTTTGATACTGTTTATATATTTGCACAAGCTTTTTAGCCTTTTCACATCCTAATTTATTTCTAACTTTTGACCAAATAAAACCAAATGAAGAAAATATTCTTTCTATTGATCCTGAGCTAGCAGGGCACGTTTGAAGTTTAGAAATAAATTTGCAAAATCCTTCAGGCAATTTTTTCTGAATTGATTTTTTATTTCTCTGGTTAATGATAGACCACCAATCACTGCACAATATTGTTGATATAATTTGATTACTCAACATCCTTTTAGGAAATGCATCACAATCCTTTAATTTAAGCAAAATCAACCCAGGTACAAAATCAGGATAATGATTGTAAAGCCATTCTTCAGCCTCATCTTCATTTTCAATCGGCAGGTTTTTGCCTATAAAAAAAAAATTCAGATTAGCATATAGGTGTGAAAACAATTTTTTTTTTAAGCAAAACTTATTTTTACCCAAAAAGCAAGGATTGGTCATGTATGCAAGATAATGGATAGGTGTCAAAGCATCATTACATCTCTTTTTGATAGCTGTGTGGTAATGACTTAGTTCAGGGTTATTCAGAAGTGAGAGCCACAACTCAACACATTCGGATAGGTGACAGCTGTCACTTTGCATCTAGAAAAAAATTAATTTTTAATTTATTTAATTAACATAATATATTTATTTTTATTACTTTTCCTTTACACCTACAAAATCTTATTATGTAAAAAAACTTTAATATAAAAAAATTAAATACTTGATCTAAAACAACACCAAATATTTTGAGTTGGGTTTGAAGACTGTTAGCTTCTCTAAATATTGCTCGATTTTCAATAATTTTTCTGATTTTGATAGGTATATCATGATTATCTACTATTTCTACATAAATTTGGTAGTTTTTTATGTATGTTTCTATACAGTCAATTTGGGAGTTCCATCGGGTATTGTTTGGTAACTGAGGCATATGCCCTCCTTTCTCATGCAACCATCCCTTAAAATAAAAATTAAATAGTTAATTTTAAACTTTTATATATTTTTTATACTCTAAGTTTAACCCACAAATACAAAATAATGTTTACATGCGGTTGATGTGTATTACGAAAATATTTCTGCACTTCAACCACATGTTTGATGACATCTGGGTGTGTTACTTCTTTTTCTAAAAGGTTTAAATAATGTGCAGAACACCCATATGTTAAAAGATTTGGATACGTTTCTTTGATTGAATCCCTCATTTTTTTCATCTTATTTTCATTATCTGTTACCACAGCAAATACTTCTTTATTGTATGTTTCTTTAAGATCTTTAATGGCATTACAAAGGAGTTCGGTACAATACTTGGCTGTTTTTTTATTTGATGCACAATCAGTAATGCATAAAATTTTAGAATTAAGTCCGTCATATGCACTGTGAGCAATAATGGGATCATTAGTAACACTACTCCATCCATCTTGCATAATTGTTATTGTTTTCTCTTCTTGGGTAAGTTGATCCATCATTTTTTTGTTTACTTCCTCATAAACTTTTTCTAAGAGCTCTCCTCCTAGCATTTTACGGTTAGGTGGTTTGTATCCTGGTCTCAATGAACTGATCATGTCTATAAATTCTTGATTTTCAGAAGTTTTAAATGATACATTTGCACTGAAGAAAAATTTTGCTATTTTTATATCAATATTTTCTTTCATATTAGTTTTTTCCATATTAGTTGATATTGTGTACAATGACATCAACCGCTGCTTCTTACAAGGTGTTAACGAACTTATAGAACTTACAGATGCCAAAGAACTTTTTCCAACTTGAGCTGATGGTCCAGCTATTAGAGATGATGGTCCATCTATTAGAGCAGATGCACTAATATTTAAATCATTATTTGGTACATCAACACAATTTTTATTTAAATATTTTGACAAATTGAGATTTTCTCTTTCTGTATGCTTGTGTAAAAACTTAAACTTTTTTTGGCAATGTTTTAAATGGGGTTTTACTCGTTCTATCTTGTTGCTAATCAAAGCATGACAATAGTCACAAGAAACCTTTGTACTGTTTTCAACTTCAGTCACTTCATCCCATTCTCCAGCTTTCTTTCTCCCACTTCCCATCGGCATTTTTAATTATAAAAAATATTATTATTAAATCTAAAATAAATCAATGCATATAGGTTTATCATGATTTTTTTTTATTTTTTCACATTTTTAGATTTTTTTTAAACTGTAATTAAAAAAAACTTATTGAAAATAATTTGAGGTGTATAAATTTTAAAAACTTATAAAATATATTCTAAATAAACTTAAATAATTAAAAATAAACTTAAATAAGTTAAAAATGATATTAGTTTTCAATATTATTAATCAAATAAAAAAAATTTTTTGACAAAATTAAAAAAAATAAAAACCCAAAAAAACCCAATAATACCCAAAAAAACCCAAAAAAACCCACTGGGCCGGGTTTTTTTAAAAAAACCCGGGTTTTTGCCAACCCTGCTGGAAACTAAATGTTGATTAGCATATAACTTTCTTTTTCATGATCTTATTATTAATCTTGCACCTGTTACAATAAAAATGATATACTAAAAGTATAATTGGAAGGATTAGGAGAAGTTGGGAAGAATTAAAATGCACAACAACAGCATACTGAAAATGTTGTGAAGAACTAAAATACATAACAACATCCTAAAAACATTAGGAAAAAGCTATTTGTTAGTTTTGTTATTCTCACGTTGTATTCAGTGTAAGTTATTATATCTTTGAAATAAGGAATTGCTTTTATAATTATTTTTTTTTAATTGAAACGTTTTTCCTAGTATCTTTGCCATTGTTTTCTGTTATGCTAAATGATAAATTTGATGATAGAAACTATTTTTTGTTTTACAATTATTACTTAGGTGTTTTATACAGTTAATATTTTTCTAGGACTTTTTTTTTGTGATGATCCTAAATAGTGATACACACATGTACTTCCCTGTTATTGTTTTTGTAAACTTTTATAACAATTAAAAAGTGTATAATCAAAAAAAATGGTTTCGTTATTTATTTAATTAAAAAAAAAAAAATTTCTTTTAGGATAAATATTTATTGTGCTTACAACTCTCACTCAACTCTTTAACTCCAAAACAAGAACCTTATGAACAAACTGGAGATACACAAGTTAAGGTAGGCACTACCAGGGATGTAGTGGGGATCAAATTTGGAACTTCTCGCTAACAGACGTAGTGTCTACTACTACATGAATTGTATAAAAATTTCTCATAATGAATTTTTATTTTGTGATGAAAGAATACATTTTATTGTCTTGTCTAGATTTTTTCTGATGTAACACTTGGTGTGGATCTTTTGTCGGATAAGATCTTCAAGATGGAATCTGATTATGTCAAACTATTATCTAAGTGAAATCTACTTATTATAGAATGAATAAAATTTCATCCCAAAACAGCATTTAGCAACTGAATCAAATATAGGTAAAAAAAAAAATTATTTGGTTACCTTCTTATTTAGTTGTTGAATATAAAAATATTATTACAGGGATTTATCTCCTAAACTTATCTAGACAGGAGGCCAGGTAAAATTTCACAACCTCTGTACAAATTGAATTATAAAAAACCTGTGTTTAGTTTAATAATTCTAAATAAGTACTTTAAACAGAACTCCAGGTGTTTTATTGAAGCAATTCGTGTCATTTTGTCAAAAATTCTTAAAACTTTGTTATTGTTGGGTCTTTCGAAACCACCAGCATTATAGCCACGTTAGATAACAATTTTTTAAACTATATGCCGCTTTTGAGTTTTATCAATTTGTAACAATTCAGTAATTACGATAGCCTTTTTTATATATAATTATTATATTGTTTATTTTTTGAAGACAATGGTATTCAGGTAGTTTAATTATATTGATAACTTCTTCATACAATATCTTATCCAGCACTTGTGGATTGGTGATAAATTTACTCAAAAAATATCAGCAATCAAAAGTCTATGAAGAGACTTAGAAGTCTTTGAAACTCCATTCTTATCTATTGACCTGCCACAAAGAAGCATACTTGACTCTTTAATCCAACATTAAAGGGATCCCAAACCTCCAAGACATGTTGTGTTCAAATTAAAGAGAATGATAAAAAAAAATGTTTGAGTGAATTTTTTTTGAAACAAAAGAATAATTGCATACTAAGAAAAACTATTTTGTTTTATTTAAAGTTCACCTTTTCCATTTTGTTGTAGGCCAAATAGTCTTCATAATATATGCCACAATTTACAGACTTGATAATTTATTCAAGCCCATTTTATTTCTATGAGTTTTAGTACATGACATCATTAATTTTTCTTTGTTTAAATAATGGATTTTTTAAACAAACTAAAAAAATCAATGAAATTGTATTCCATGTATTCCAATGAAATTGTATTCCATGCCATGTATTGAAACTCAGTAATAAAATGCACTTGAATAAATTTTGTAGGTTTGGGATACCTTTAAAAAAAATTCAAAGTGAAATGAGACACAGTTACAGGTAACCCTAGAATGATGTTGATAACGTGAGACATAAACTTCACTTGAGCTATGAAGTATACTTCACTTGATTGAGGTAAAAAGTATAACAAAGTGGTTCTCTTTTATGGTGTTTAGATGGTCCTTTTCTATATTTTAAACTATGCTAAAAATTTCATCAACACCAACATGAATAATGGAATGAAAAAAGATTCTTTTTAGAGAAACACATTTTTTGCCAGCATGGAGATGTCAGTGCAATTACCAATTTTTTTAAAAAAAGTTTATACCTAACTTACGTTAACATTTTTAAACAGAGAATAAATTATCCAAGTTGATCCTGTTTCTAACATCAGCATTAGCATTTTTGTTGATTTAGCCATGAAGGCCACTACAGCCAAATAGGCTACTTTAATTGTGGTTACAACCCTCTGTCAACTCTATAACTCTGAAATACAAACATTAACAAATAAGTCCACTGTGCAGATAGACAAGTTAAATGCCAGGGATGTGTTGGGGATCAAACTCAGAACTTCTGACTTATGAGGCAAGCGCTCTGACACTACATAACTTCCACTTACCCATCTGGTAGGTAATGGTTTATCACCAAGCTCAAAATTGTTTAAAGAATAGAATTAAATCATAAATCTCATTGTATGACCTTATTAAACATGTTCTAGATCAAAATTAAAGAACTCATAACTTTATATGTTGGTAATCATATGATTATAATCATATATAACATTAAGATTATGTTTTCTAAATTCTAAATTCCAAATCAGCATGTTTTTTTATGATTGTGCTCTATCGCCCATAATACTTACAAAGCTAAATATCTTGTTTTGTGAGCAAAATACAAAAAAGTATTTTGAAAATAATTATCAAAGCATTAATCTAGAATAATAATTAGTAAAAAAGAAGCATTAAAAGTTTTAATTCCACCTCACATTTAGCTAATAGAGACTTAGTTCAATCAGCAAACTTTTTATCTATCAAAATACAGATCTTACAACTAAAAAAATTTATTAACATTAATCATTATTTGATAAGATATTGATTGTAAAACTTAGGTAGGTAAATCTTGTAAGCATTGGATAAGAACCTTTCTAGTAGTAACATTACTTAAAGCCTAGGCCAGCAAAACAGGTTATTGCCAAGAAGGACATCAATTTGTCTTAAATTTATTTGCCTATTTAAGTTATGACTTGTATATTGCTACTTGACAGTTGAACAACTACTTCATTTTTTTTCTAAATGTTACACTAGTATGAGCAATGACCAAAAACTCGAATTACTTTTCCACAGAGATACAGTATTTATTATTATTTAATAACTTCACTTATACAACACTCTCTGCTTTTTATTTCTGCTATAAGAATTTGAAATTCATAAATATGGCAACAATTCCTTTAAAGGCACATTTTCTTTTTGAAATATTTCTGTGTGACCACAAAAATATAACCAGATTTTTTAGGGAGATAAGATTCCTTTTTTTAAAACTTAGTTATCCTAGTTCTTCTGCATAGTATTGCAACCTTTCTTTCTGCATAGTGTTGCAACCTTTCTTCTGCATAGTATTGCAACTTTTCTTCTGCAATGCTCCATACTACCACTGACAGCAACACATAAAACTTTCTTTTATTGACAAAAGCTTTAGTGACAAACAAATTCACTGGAACTCAATATACATATCTAGTTTTAAATTGTTCTAGAAAGTTCTAGACTAATTAAATAAAAGTATACAATGATTCCATATATTAACTTAAGGTGATTATTTTTATATATGTAGTTAAAAGAAAATTCATTTAGGAAATTTAAAAAACATTTAAACTTGTAAAATATGTTGATGTATAAACTGTGAAAGGGATTGAAAAAAGTTAACTTATTATTCAGACTGAAATGTAGACAGAAACTTAAAAAAAATTTAAAAAATAAAGACAATAGGCTAACTTACCATTCGGATGAAACATTTTTGATATAAACTTGACTATTGGTGGCTTGTTAGGGTATTCTTCTGTGAACTCCATTGTCAACCGAAAGGTACCTTAATACCACAAAATTATATGTACATATATATGAATATATAGATAAAAACTAATATATCAGGTCTTCACGAATTAGGCATGCGGTTGCACGCGTTATATGACCACCCATACAGTATTTTGTTTTGACAACTTGGCCACGGCTCTTTGCAAGTTTTAACAATTGGCACTTTTAAAAGATACACTAGAAAAGTGTATAAAAAAATATTCAGATTAAAGTTTAAGGCAAAATGAGTGTAGAAGCCATTGAAAATGAGTATAGAAGCCATTGAAAATGAGTATAGAAGCCATTGAAAATGAGTATAGAAGCCATTAAAAAATCATTACAAACAGTTTTATTGTGTATACATAATTTCTATTAAAAAGAATTATTCACATAACTAATACACAAATATATTTTGCATTAATATTTTAAAAAATTTCCTACACATCTGCTTCATTCCTTGGTTTGCATCAAATATCGTTGCTGAAAAAAGCAACCTACTTATAAGGAAACAAAATAATTACAATAATCTTAAATAAATAGCATCTGTGAACATTTTTTTAATTATCCCAGGGCGCAACAAATCATTTTTTTTTTAATGAACGTTAACATACATATCTTTATTTATTGACAAACAAATTTAAGAGATTTATGTCAAATAAGGGAGTTTTATTTTCAAATAATTTTTATTCTAGTTAAAAAGTTATTAAATATATCAAAGATGGTTGGAAAAATTTTTTTTTTTAAACTTTTTTTTTAAGCAATTGCAAAGTGTGTGCAAATTAATGATACTTAATATGCAATGACCTAATGATGGTAAACTGTTGTCTATTTATACAAAATAGTGAATTTTTCTAATTTTAGTTTGTTAAATTTATTTACAATTAAAAAATCTTATAAATTTGAAGAAGCTAAAATAAAAGAAACATAAAATAAAATAAAAGTTGTTTTGACTTCTTTTGATTTCTTTTTTAAAACCTTTAGAAATAATAACACCATATTAAGTATTTATAATACTTAATATGGTGTTATTATTTCTAAAGGTTTTAAAAAATTTCTAAAGGTTTTAAGTAATAATAATAAAAAATACCATGTTATTGGTGTCGTTAAATGTAAAATAACATAAATAAATATAAAATGAAAACTATAATAAACTTAATAATTCTATATATTTTATTAGTTTATATATATATATATATATATATATATATATATATATATATATATATATATATATATATATATATATATATATATATATATATATATATATATATATATATATATATATATATATATATATATATATATATATATATATATATATATATATATATATATATTTAAGCAAAACTTAATAAACTCTTTTTAAAACTTTCAAAAGTGTTTTTAATATGCAAACAAAGATTACTATTAGGAAAATAAGAAAATTTAAAAATAAACTAAACATACAAAATTTTATTTAAAATGAATGCATTTGCTCTAAACTCTTAATCTAATTGCTAATTACTTTAAAAGAAACAATGCTAAAACCAGGGCCCCCAACACCAGGAGGCCAGGGGGTACGTGCCCTCACCCCTACTCCTCCACTGCTTTTTAAGAAAATTCTAGATATAGAGGACTTTTTTTAGAAAATGAAGATTATGCCCCTCCACTTCAAGTCCCGTGTCCTTCATTACTTTCTTCAATAGTGTACTAAGCTGTTTTATATTAAAATAACACTATTGAAGAAAGTAATCATGTTTTAGCATGGTTTTTTTAAAAGTCTCTAAAAATAACTGATTTCAAATTTAAATATGTGCTTTTTAAAATAAATAAAAAACAAATCAAAATTATTTGAAAAAAAAATTGCTTTTGTTTTAAAAAGTTCCTTTTTCTAATAACCTGTATTCTATTGACTTTTTTATAAAATTTAAAATTTGCACCACAAAACTTTATTAAATTACACGGCAGTTAAACAGCCAGTTACTTACATTTTTAAACATTGTGCTGTGTTGAATAAATCGCTTTGTAAAAAAATAAATAATAAAATCTGGGTGGGTGGGGGGAGGGCAGATGCCCCCATGGCACTCCCCTCACAATGGATCCACTTGTATTATATTATTTATTCATGGGAGGTAAAAATTGATAAACATTAATAGAGCTGTGATAAATTTATTTTTTAACTTCTGCTTACAATTAAGTCTACATTAAATATTTAAATTTTTTCTGGTATTTCTTCTATTTATTTTGTTATTCTTTAGAATTTTTTTAGATTTTTTTTTTTATTTCAGGTTATGAATTGTTTATTTTAATTTAAGTTTGCTTTGTTTTTTTAGTGCTTTTAAAAGGGCTAATTATCAAAATTTTGAAGAGCCCTGGCCAAGTTGTTAAAACAAAGTATTATATGCGTGGTCATATAAGGCATGCAACCACACACCTCTAATGCAAAGGCCTGAATATATCCAGTTAATTAAAAATAACTCGAAACTCCAAGGGACCAAGGAAAGGGGTTCAACTACAGGAATGTTCAACTAAATCAAATTCAAAGCAAAAGCAAAGTTAAGTCGAACTTTGGCAGATATATATATATATATATATATATATATATATATATATATATATATATATATATATATATATATATATATATATATATATATATATATAATACAAATTTAGCTTGACTTTTAACCCAAGTCCACCCTAAATCTACAATGGGTCAATAATTATTATAACCATGCATAGAGTTATGTATATTAAAAGCAACCATAACTATCTACAATTTCTTTTAAACTAGTGGACTAATAAATACTAATACAAAAAAGGTCAAAAGGGAAAAAAAGGTGAAAAACAAAAAGGTGATTGCCAAGAAAGGCTTTAAATTGTAAAAATATTGCCTTAACTCTTCCGTAATGTCATATTTAAATAAAAAAGTGGCTTTGTGAAAACCCATACAAACCACATATGTAAAGATAATGTGGTTAAAAAATAATTTAATTTTCTTTCATGCTGCCACTTTCTTCTAAACCAGATATACTTCATTTTTTAATTTGTTTGTTTAATTTTAAAAAATGTTCAGCTATGTTTTTATTTTAAAAAACAAGCAAGAGTTAACTCTACAAATTAAATTTTAAAAGCAAGTTATAACAACATATAGGCTAATTATAGTAAGGTGGATTTGTTTGCTTTTGGAAATATTTCTTTGTTTTTTTTAATAACCTAATTATAACACATATTGTATCTGTTCTTTGTTCTTGAAGGGGCCAGATTTTGCTGCATCAAGACAACCCATTGATATGCATGCTTATATGATTACCCCACTGCAGACTTAAAAACTTATCTGCTGATCCATGATTTTGAAACCTGCTAACTTCTTGGCATGCCAGATGACTGCCTAATTCTTGACATGCCAGATAGATTCCTGCTTTGAAGATTCTTAAAACAGGAACCCATCTGGCATGCAAAGAATAGTAAACAGGTTTCTGCCTTTCTTTAAAACAAAATTAGGAACTGTCTTTTTATATTGCTATGAATTCCACCTACACTGGTTTCAAAAGTTATTTCTTCTTTCTTGCTCTGACGACTTTTGAACAAGCTAGCACTTCATGTTTAAGTCCAACTCTGAATCGAAGAGGCTGATGAGAATCAGATATTCCAACAAATACTAAAGATAACCTGTAATCTTTCGTGAATCACAGCTACAATGTCTTGACTGAGGTAAACATTAAGTAAATGAAGAAATTGCAGATCATTCCTTGCTGCATTAAAAACTAGAGGTGCTGAGACTCAGAAGTTGATATAGACTTTGACAAAAAGTATGTTCACACATTGGAGACTACAAACTTCACACAATATCAGCTTAAACTGTGATTGAAAAGGCCAAACTTTAAGATTCTAAGTGGCTTTTGTTATCCATCTAGCTTGTTGATTGACCCAGGATCTCTTCCGTTTTGCTGGTTTTCTTCCCAAAAAGACGAATATTAGCTTGAGCAGCTCCCAAAAATTAGTTGAGACTGAAAGTCCTAAAGTTGATGTTTACAGAAAGCAATCAATACATCTTCAACATTTGGAAGTTCAGCAATAACGGTATTATCTAACAAGCACCAGACAGGGGGGCAATATAGGAACTTGTATTATAAAAGCACTTCTCACATACAAGGTTTTCTAGCTCTCATTTATGGATTACATTAAAAACAGGTTAAACTTGACTTTAAAAAAACAAAGTACAGATGGCTTTATTAAATCATGATAGAAAAAGTTTGCATGCATACTCAATGATTTTATAATGTAAAAAGAGTTTTAGCTAATAGGAGTAATATATCATATACTACTTAGTGAACCATTGATTTTTATGTAAATTATTGTGTATTAGTACCTACTGGAATATTTGGAATATCCAAAAACATTGTTTCTCCTGATGTTGTGATAAGAATGGATAACCAGTCCACTAAGGGGATGACTAAAAAGATCTCATTTTCTCGGAAATGGGATGGCAGCAAAAGATGATTTTTTTTTTACTTGTATTAACAGAAAATATTAATAGTTCTTTTCAAATAAAAAAATTCTCCTTCAGCGCAGATTAAAATTTGGTCCCAGCAGTCTGAAAATACAAAAAATTCAAATTTTTGCTTTTACGGATGATGAATTTACAGTTGGAGCAAAGTCACTTACAAATACTTCATAAAAAATTTAAGTGTTATTTTTGTACCTTGATCTATATTATTTTAGATAATGTTTTGTTTTTTAGTAAAGATGATCGTAATGGTTGGTCCTAACTATTTAAAGTCATGATATATACTTTTGAAAAGTTGGGAGGGGGAAGTCAAAAAAGAATTTTGTGAAATTTAAAAACTTTTTGTGAGTGTGTGTGTGTAAATAAAAATAATGTCAACAAGCAATTAATGCAAAACAATATCTGTAAATAGTGTGAAGTTTTTTATATTGGAAAAAGAATTGAAAATATACATGACACATAACATATAATATATATATATATATATATATATATATATATATATATATATATATATATATATA